ATGGTCATGCCTTCTCCATGTCCTCTTTAATCCCTTTAACTCCTCTTTCTGTCCTTTAAATAATAGTGTTCTAGAGTTTCTGTAAAATTATGACTACTTATCTTTAATTTTTTGATGCACAATTTTATATACACCTGTGGATTCAACTGCCATTCCATGTCTCCCCAAACTGCTTCCACGCTAAGTTCTTCTATGGAGCCACATTTTTGCCTGGTACCTAAACATCTCCAATAAAACCTACAAGTCTAAAAGAACATTTTCAATCAACAAGACAAAAGCAAACACAACTTTTCCTCCTGTGCCCCATATCCACAACCTGCATTTTACTTCTTCTACCCTTTCATTCAACAGTTCACCAAGTCTAATCAACTTTACTGTTGTTAATTCTATCACACAGGGAGCCTTCAAATCATTTCAGTTCTTTCCATCTGCAGTAACACTGTCTTAGCCCAGCGCATAGTCATATCTTGCCTGGAGTACAGCAGCTTTCCAACTAGCTTCTGGTACTTCCCTCATCTAATATTAGTTACTAGGCAGCAGAAAATCTGACCCATCACATGCCCTCTACCTTCTCCTAACCCTCCACCAATCCCATAATGAACTTATGCTCTCCTCAACTTAAAATCATTTACCTTGACCTAAGAAATGGAGACAGGCCCCATAACTAGCAATTATGAGTCCACAGATCTGAGCAGTAGTCTAGAAAACAACTAGTTTACATACTTCAGATGATGCTAATGCAGATTTTGAGTAAAATCCCGATAAATTCTAGAACTATACTAGAATATATTTGTTGAATTATTAGATGTTACCCAAGTCTAAACCCAGTTTCCAAGAGATCAAAAACATTCTAATAAATTTCTGCATGCCCACATTAAAGTAAATAAACATTTACTTTATTTATGACATACTGTGTTGCTATATTTATACCAGGTTCCCTTAGGTAGCTGCATTTATAAGTAACAACCTCTGATAAAGGATGAAAGATGTGAAAAGATAAGATATTCATTTATAACCAGATATTAAGATATAATAACTTTCTAAGTTTCCCTAGGATATTAACTACTAAACCACATAATATTCCAATAGCTTATGAATATTCTAAGAGATTATGTACTGTCTGTCTTCATAGAGGAAGAAAAGTATTAGCCAATGGAAACAACATAGTCAATAAATCAAGGTCAAACTTAACCAAATTATTTGTTTCTTAAGAACCTAATGGTAAATTCTCTATCAGAAATCTCAAGGTTACTTTGAAATTTCCACTGTGCACACCCTAATCCTAGCACTTAGTAAGAGACAACCATTGGAGTGGGCTTAGGTATAACATTAATACTTAAACCAATTATGGCTAAAGAATTTGCGTACACAGTGAAAATGTTCACTAAGATAGGAAATGGCATCCTATATAAAAAACCCAGCAGAAAAAAAAAAAAGCCTTAAAACCAGAGGAGTGAGTTAGAAATCTCTAAAATGCACACGCCTACTACAAATGTCATCAATGGTCAGCTACTAATACATTACAAAGTTTAATTACCTTCTTTCTCATGAATTTTTAAAATGTTGAAATAAAAGATTTTTAACTTAATTGCAACTTCTGTAATTAAAATCTTTAATTACACTTTAGATGTGCAACTTTCCTTGGACAATTACACTGGTTAATGATTCTGAGGGCAGTACTGTGTTTCTGTGTGTATGTGTTCTGTTTGTTCTTTGAATTCTTAATTCTTTTTGCTATGCTGCTTTTTCCTCCCAGGCTAATGTCACAACCAATCTGCCTCACTGACCTGAGCAGGAGAACTTAAAGGTTTAGGTTTTTCTACTGAGGATGCACTCACCAAAGAAAGAAGAATATATTAGCTAAGTTATTAAAAGTGAAATTAAATTTATTCTTTATTTTGCCCAATGAAAAATATGCTTCTGTAAAGCACTAATTAGCTATCTCCATATCTACTTTTACCTACAGATAATATATACACGCACTTTTTCTTCTCATCCTGATAATATCTTGATCTACTTAAAGTGTCAGAGTTAACTTTTATTTCTTGATCTAGTCACCAATACTAAAAGAGAATTCAAGCTTTTCAGTAATTACCTTGTTTTCCAGAAAAAAATTAATATCAAGATTAAAAACACTCATTTTGATCATCATGAAGGCCAAATCATTTTCTTCACAACATGTACATATGCTTTCTGATTGAGCTCTATCTTCCATAATAGGCTATTGTAACAGTGTGTGTGTCTGAGTTGTGTCACATGTTTGTGTAGGTTCTGAAACTTCAATTGTCTCCAATTTCATCTTCCTTCTCTATATTTGAGCAAATATCAAGTAAAGTATCTGTTGTATAACCTAGCTCTAAGTCCTCACTCCAAATCTTCCCTGTATAACAAAAGGTTACAAATACCAATAGTCAGTGCACTACCTCTCAGCTTCAAATCCAGCCTGCTTCCCGCCTTCATGACACGGGAGACAGATTCACTGTCAGTGTTTGGCTTTTTCAACAGAGGGTGATAAAGGGACACTCCAATGTCACAGCAGGAGAAGGGAGTTTTGCTTTCTGGTTCTCCTCTTGATTTAGTCACAATGACATCCTTATAGACAGTTTCAAAGGACTGGTATGCTACAAAATTTCATTTACAAAGCAGGATACTCCCATAGACTAGCTTGAGACGCTACACTCAGCTGTTTTTCCATGTCACTGTAGCTCCACACCCTTGCAGAGGAGTCTGAATTCACTAAATACTAAATACTAAATACTAAAAGGAATAAAATATTTAGTTGTTTCTCGACAGTCAGGACAAGGGCTGATTAAGTCATTGTTTCTCATAGTGTCCATTTCACTTCAACAGGTTTCCTTTTAGGTGCTCAGTTAGTTATCACCGATCAGGGAGAACATATGATATTTGTCCCTTTGGGACTGGCGTATTTCACTCAACATGATGTTTTACAGATTCCTCCATTTTGTTGCAAATGACTGGATGCCTTTTTTTTTTTTACTGCTGTATAGTATTCTATAGGATACATATCACATAAAAAGCTTTTAGCTTTTGACCTGGTCCAGCCCTTAATGTTGTAGGCATTTGGGGAATGAATCATAGATGGAAGCTTTCTCTATCTTTCAAATAAAACTAAAATAAAATTTTAAAATTAAAAAATGAAGAAGGCTCTTCTTAAAAATTTATAAGAAAAGTTGTACTAAAACAAGTAGTATTTAGTTAGACAAGAATTTTTTTTCAGTCAACCAATAGCATTTTGAATACAAAATCTTTCTGCCATTTTAAGATCTTATTATTCACATTGACCTATAAAAAGGGATAAAGTAATATCTCAGGTCAAAATATGTTAAGTGTATTATGTTGAAGAGTGGTATTTTTCCTGTTGTTCTAGTACTGTGCCTAAATTCCAGAGTGACTAGGATGGAGGACACATCAATCTTTACATTGTAACTAGGAAGAACTTTTAAAGCTTGACAGTATTTGATATCAGTCAACTCTCCAAAGATGAGAATCACCTCTCAACAACGTAGAACATCACATTTTCATCCAGGTCATTATAAGAGGACTGTGAGATCAGAAAAGTGGCTTTGATGGAAGAAGAAAATAAACTTGCTAGGATAAACATGGTATTTCTGTTCCCTAAGGGAAATATACGATGGTCTTCATAAATTAATGTTTCCCTTTGTTTGTTCAGGTAGAAATTCTCCAAATTTGTCAGTTTTCTCTTGGATAACCAGAAAGAAGAAACTGAGGAAAGATTACATGGTAAGTAAAGAATAGGCAGAAAAGGGACACAGACATCTCCTCTAATTCTCATTCCTGAGGCTACAAGGGAGATGAATCCTTAAGATTCAGAGATGATGTGTCACAAACTTGCTAGGGAGGTATCATGGGACCAAAGACACATGTATCAGAACAATACAAACAAGGCAGGCATCAGCTGGGACATGTGGTAGAATCTGACAAAATATACTAACAAATGAAAAATTATTTCAGCAAAAAATTCTATCATTGAACATCAAGGTTAGTGAAATGAAGGACTGATAACTAAAAAAAGATACATATAATAAAAAATTTACCTTTGATGATTCTACCCCACCAGTTTATTTTTTTTTTTTTTATTTGACAGGTAGAGTCATAGACATTGAAAGAGAGAGACAGAGAGAAAGGTCTTCCTTGTGTTGGTTCACTCCCCAAATGGCCGCTACAGCCGGCACTGCACCGATCTGAAGCAAGGAGCCTCCTGGGGCAGTGGACTGGACTGGAAGAGGAGCAACCAGGACTAGAACCCAGCTCCCATATGTACCCCACCAGTTTCTAACCTACCAAACCAATTTTCCCCTCCTATCCATCTCATTCAAAAGACAAATAAACACCAGTTCCATGGAATGCAAGAATATCAACATGCTAGTTCTCTTTAGGCTGATTTATATGAGGATACTTTGAAAAGATCATGGAAATAGAATTATAAGATAAATTTATTATGGTGCAAACATTTTGAAACACATACATAGATTTTTATAATGTATATTTTCATGAGCTTTATGAAGACCCCTCCTATATGTTTATTATATATGGAGTTTGTGTTTAATGTCTATATTTATAATGTATGACAAGGCAGTTTTTCATGTATTACACTGTCTATACTCGATAAGAAGTAGGTGTTCATGAAATTTTAGAGACTTTACTTATGAAAGTCCAAGCAGGTACCTTAATCCTAGAAACTATTCTCAGTAATATGAATACCTTGTTTAAATAATTGTTTACCACTCTGTACCTATATAGACAGGTCTTGGAATGAATATAAATTATAAAGGGCTAATTTATACCCTTAAACTAGAATTGTGCATTACAGATATAAACCTTAACTCTCTAGTTATTTGGGTATGCTAGGTAGACATGAGGCAGATACATAAGTTTGAAAAGCTAAAAATAGCTGTTCATTCTAAATTACTCCCACTTTCCCATACATCAAATAAAATTATTATTAATGTAAAACTCACCATATCTGTATCTGAGACAGGTCCAAAACTGGTCACGTAGATGTTAGTGAAGACTTCAGTAATGCTGTCTGATATGAGAAAAAGAGATTGAATATGTTTTATATAATTTGTATATAATTTTTGCAAGCAAAAAGGGTTGTGTTCATGTCATGATCAAACCCTATGTAGTAAATTTAAAAGAACTTCCTTTTGCTTTGATTTCAACTTTCACAATCAATAAAAAAGAGTTCTACAGTTCAGTAATCTAGGTTCTCATAATCCTAAATGTAAGATCCCCAGAAGTATTCTGACATTTCTGCTTGGAAATCGTAACTGATTACGGTATCCTACTTTACGAATACATTGCTCAGAATGAATGGTTTCTTAGAAACCATCTTAAGTGAACTCACTTACAATTAATTTACTACCTATATGGAAAATAAAGTATTGTTATACATGTTAAAAATTTAGATTTTATGTTTAAAGTAAATAGTTCAGGTAGTATTTAATGATGATAATGATGATAAAGATTTAGTGTACAGCTTATAAGTCAGTGTATCTTCTCCATAAAGCACATAGACATGTTAATCATTACAAGTGAACATAATTCATATTAATATAAAAAACTTTATTATTCAGTGATCTAAATGAAAAGTAAATAACTCATTAATCACAATGGACTACTTCCAAAGAAGCTTTTCTTTAAATACATTTAAGAATGCTAAGACTGATTGAAATGGATTCTAAAATTATGTAACTTATTAACTGTAACACAATTAACTGAATTGCTCTATTAACCAGGTGATTTAGATCTTTGGTTTTAAAGCCAAGTGGTAATGGGATAAAAGCTCAAAAAAGAATTTAAAAAGAAAAACTCCTCCATTGTGCTTGTAGAGAAAAACACATGATTAATTTCTATTACCATAAGTTAAATGCTTCATATATTAATCATCAAATTTGTAATTCCAAACAAATATTACCATAAAATATTTTCATTTTATATTGGACATTAATTTACAAACATCAAAAAGTAAATTATGTCAGATATTGATTCACCTAAGGCAAGATTTTTAAGATAATAAAAAAAAAAAAAAAAAAAAAAAGTTTAGAATTTAGAGATACTAGTCAAAGGAACTGAAATACGGCAATCTGCTTAACAAACTCATGCATTATATTATCTATTATGATTGCTATGCATGTGTAAAATGTGCACAGAAATGTAAGAAAATATGTCCAATGATCCACAACTAGTTGAGTAGATAAGGCCAGATTTTAGAGCCCCAGCAATCTGGTTTGAATCCTCAGGCTAACGCAAAGCATTGAGCCACAAATAATGATAATCTTGAAACTAAAAGTAGTTTCTCATTAACAGAATATTTCTATTCAGCAGAATACCCTGTGCCAAAACCAAAGTTACTCAACTCCAAAATATGCTCATTCACTATTTTATTCCTAAAATTATATTATGGAATTACAAATGTTATTATTCACACCAAAATCAATCATGTCATTACATTTATTTAATAACAAATTGAATGCAACTTAGTTGTTACAGATATTTTAAATGTTCAAAATGACACAAAGGAAAACGTTAAGGTAGTTATCATGCTAACATAGGTAAGTAAATTAATTCTCCTTAGTTTGTAAAGTTAAAAAAGAGAGATGGTTAAAAAATGTGTGAAATGCATTGATGGACATAGATAATATTCACTAAATGCTAAAAGGCAAGGCAAGGGTATATCTAGTGACTGTAGGGAGGTGTCAGTTAAGGACTAGAAAAGAGAAAAATAAGAATATCCTTAAAGCCACAATTACTAACAGAAACACCTACAGAAACAACACAGATATGCAATATGCATAGATATGCTAGCTCCTTGACATGAACACTCAATTGCTATCTAAACCTGGAAAAGGGATCCAAGACAATGAGATTTTAAGGATTTTAATAAGGAGGGGGGTGCACAGAGCTGCAAACAGCCAACATGGATTAGTGAAATATTTTAGTGTGATGATGAAAAATATTTCATGCACCTAACACAATTTTCCAGGTTTCGATATTCCAAGTACAATTTTTGTTGTAGTCTGGCTTCCCATAACATAAGGAAAAGAATGGGAACAGAGAAAAGAAGGGAAGGGAAAAGAACAGATATGAGGGCAAGAGAAAGATGAAATTCTATGATATAGGATATTTCCAAATTTCAAGACACTGATTTGTGAAAGAGTGTCCATGCTGTTTGCTAGTTATGTTTTGTTTCCTACATTAATTTACAACAGGGTGTAAGTGTGCTAGTAATGCCTATTAAAAAACTCTGACTCACGGGGCAGATATACATCACAGAGAAAAGGAAGTTACAGTCTTGTGACAGCCTCTGTGTACATTTTAAGAACTATGAGTCACTCTCCCGAGTCCTGATTACTCTTAGTAGACACTCTAACAACATCCTAACTCAGAGCCTATACACATAGGTTACTGCCTCTCTTCTTCCATTCTTGGTTATCACTTCTCTGCCTTTAAGTCTTAGTTCATGTATTCTCTTCTCAGACCAGGGGTTCATTGCTTCTCCTACCTAATATAAATCCTCTTCATGAATTTTCTCTCTCCAACTTTTGTTTACTCATAGAATTTTCTAGAATCTTCCATGATTTTTCATGTGACATATTTATTTGTTTTATTTTTGTTGTTGTAGCTGTTGTTGTTATATATTTGGTCTGTCTCCCAAACCAGACCTCAAGTTCCCTAAAGGCCAGGGATTGTGCTATTTATATTTATTATTATAATATCACAAGTGCTTCGCTCACTGCCCATCACATATTAGGAGCTATTATGTGAATAAACAAATCATCTTTCATTACAGTCTTGCAGAAAATCTATCTGTTTCCCAAATATTTCAACATGAAAAATTACCATGCATAGCTGTCACTACTGATAAGGAAATGGCATCTATCATTTGTGAAGGCAGAGCCCACGTTGTCCCTTGACAGAAAAATGTTGAAAGGGTAAGTAATAGGTTTCCAGTGAAGTAACAAGTCAAGAAAAGGAAAAGAAAGTACTTGAAGAAAACGCCAATTCAGTGCAAACTAAAATTGAGCTCTGAGCAGTAAGCAGCTCCTAGTCAGAAAGGCCAACATGAGTTATCCCAGAATAAACGTTTACTAGCTAAATGCTTGGCTTTAGAAAACCAAAGGTGACATGGAAACATAAGAGTCTTCTGTCTAGATGTCGCCACAGTCAAAACACCATGATGTTTATATTAAGATGTACTACAGGAAAAGTAAGGAGTGCGAAACAAAGAGGAATGTGTGATCCATAAGAACAACTATCAATTTCAAGACAGAGATACACTAGGGAAGGAGAGGGAAGAGCCTGCAGCAGGATACTGCTGGAGACTTTATAGATTTCTACTTTTTCCTTGCTTTACAAATTGACCTAGTCAATTTTGGCAAAATCTTAAGATCTGATGAAGGAGGTAGTTGAGTAAATCATTATACACTGTATTTCTGAATGTTTGAAATGCTTCATAGAAAAAAAATGGCCCTCATGTATAACCAGAATGAATATCCAAATAATTTTAGAAAGTGCTTAAATTAAATCATGAAAAAAATGTTCTTTACTGGGTAATGCAGTATAGAGCAAAAATCAAAACTTCTTTACAAAATCCTTCGCAAAATTATGAAATAACAAAAATAACATTCAAGTGAAGTTCCTCATCCCATAAGATTCATGGAAAATAGGCATTTGAGGATGAAAGTTTAGTAAAGCAAAATCAGCCTGTGAAGAACTCAAGGATTATAGGAAGGAAACATAAAAAGTAATAAAATAAATGCCTACTAAAACTAAGAAGACAGCATACTGATGCTTTAAGAGCAATTTTGAAGGAAGACACCAGCTGAGTTTCATCTTTGGTGACTTTCAAAGTCGTTATGCATTCGCTAAGCCAACAAAGTAGGGAGAGAATATTCCAGGCAGGGAAAATCCTGCAAATAGTGAAGTCTGGTTAATGCACATGATTTAATATGAACAGAAGAGTGGTATATCAGGTGAAAAGAATGACAGAGGCTATGTCAAAACAAAACAAAAAAATAAGTTAAATCTGGCATGCCCCAGGGATGAGGATATTGTCTCCTATTAATTGTAGCAGAAGATTTACTGGAGGTCTTTGATCTACAGACTGATCTGGCCAAGAGTGCATCATGAGAATCATTACATTACATTTATAACAGGGCAGGTAAATCAAAGCAAATAAAAAGTGCATTCAGTTTGGAATATGTTGTGATTAGTCAGGACAAAAGAAAAATAATTGAGAACAGACAAGGGTAGCTATCAAGAGGAGAGAGAGTCCCTTTGTTTTCTAGAGCAGTATTACTGAAATCATCCCCTTTGACTATTAGAGGATCTTTAGAGACTGGAAATGAGCGATTTCAGTAGAACTATAAAGGCATAAAACAAAAAAAAAGAGTTTTGAAATAAATAGATTAGAAGAACATGAAGATAATAGCTAAAAAATATTCTTTCAAAAAGTTTATCAAAAAAATTTGATGAACCCATGAATAGTTGAACTGTGCTTGGTTATATAACAGACAATAGCAATTAAACCTTCCAAACAAAAATTTCTTTTATTGTTTTTAAATTTTTTTGAGAATTATTATTCACTTGAAAGAGTTACAGAGAAAGAGGAAGAGACAGAGAGATAAAGAGAAAGAGAGAGATCCTCCATCCACTGGTTCACTCCCAAATAGTTACAAGGGCCAGGATGGGGCCAGGCCAAAGCCAGGAACCAAGAGCTTCATCCTGAGCTCCCATATTGGTGGCAGAGGTCCAAGCACTTGAAACATCTTCCACCGCCTTCCCAGGTGCACTAGCAGAGAGCTGGAATCAGAAGAAGAGCAGCTGGTACTTGAACTGGAGCCCAGCACCCATTTGGGAATTCCAGCGTTGCAGGCAATGGCTTTTCCCTGTATGCCACAATGCCAGTCCCCCAAACAAAAATTTCTAACTTTGGCAAGAATAAAATTATTTCTTTCATAAATGACTGAAGGCCATTTGATAGGCATATTCTTTGCACAAAGTCTCTTTTCTTCACCCCCAAAC